CCTCACCCTCATCCGTTGCCCTAAATGCTCCGACAATAAGTCTTTTTAAAAATATATTTTTTTACTGATTTCAGAAAGGAAGGCAGAGGGAGAGAGAGAGAGATAGAAACATCAATGATGAGAGGGAATCATTGATCAGCTGCCTCTTGCATGCCCCCTACTGGGGATCGAGCCCACAACTCAGTATGTCCCCTGATCTGGAATTGAACCATGACCTCCTGGTTCATAGGTCAACACTCAACCACTGAGCCACACTGGCAGGGCATCTGACAATAAGTCTTATGGGAAATGGAGCAAATACTGCAATCGGCATATAAACAAGTGCTCTCAAAGCCAGGGCCCTGGCTGGCAGGGTTCTTGGGTAGCCACTCAGTCCTTGAGAGGTGTTGAGTGCTTGTCCCTGCCCTGGACACGCAGGTTGTGTTCCTAGAGATCAGGCGTGTGGATGCATTTCTGTTCTCTGACCTGCACTAACAAAGCCCTCTGCGTGTTTCTTGTGTCTTCCAGTTGACCGTCCTCCAATGGAACCCTCCCAGTTTGTCTCAGTTGTCCCTAAATACCCAGACAAGATGGGATTTGATGAGGTAGGAAAGTTGTCTATGTGTGTGTGCATGTGTTGCAAGGGTCTAACATGCTTGTATGTTTATATCGATGCACAGGCCTGAGCATAGGTCTGGGAGCCAACAAGAAGGGCTTGGCTACTGAAAAGAAACTGAGGTCTTGGGAAAAATTACTCACTTTTTGTTGTGCCTCAGTTTTCTTATCTTAAAAAAGGAGCATCATGGTAAAAGTGAATTAATCATTCAGTCGGAAAGAAACTACTGTTGCGTGGTGAAAGTGAATTTGATGTTTTTTTTCTAAAATATTGCCACAGTTTATCAACCTTTTTATCAAGACTCAAGGGTAAGGTAAAGAGGATATGTGTTTTCGGGATTAGAGAACTTGAACTTGACTCTGAGTGGGTGGAAACTGTGCTGGACCACTCTGAACTTTATGTTCTCTCCGCTGTTCTTCCAAGGAAAAAGGTTGGAGGGTAGGGTTGAGAGGACAAAGAAAAAAGAGAACGAAGAAACTGTTCTAAAATTCTGCCTTTCCCCAGGCAAGAATTTCATAATAGCTCGCTGAGGGCCATGTTTGTCAGTAAGTTTCAATTGCATAAAGAATGAAGCAGAAATATAAAGAGGTGCCTCTCTTGGTAATATGCCCAACATATATGATACTTGGCAGGACCAAGTCACTGACTCCTTCATGGGTTCCTCATGTCCTGTATTCAGGAACTTGGTGGTCTAGAGGCGAGTCAGGAATCCACACCCCAGGTGCTTTCTCACAGAATCTGGATAGGTTATAGGCCAACCTTTGTGCTCTGTGCCCATTATTTATCACCTGGTATCATACAATGCATGTTCCCTAAGTACAGCCATGTAAAGAGCTGCTGGCACTGGGAAATGGGCTTCTGTCTATAAAATTGACTTGGGGCTGAACTTCTGGGGTGGGAAGAAGTCTTTCATAACTATCAAGTGGGAAAGAGCACTACTAAGCAATTTCCACAGAGGGCTGAATGGGGAGAGATGATTGGAAGCATGGGAGAGAGGACTTGAGGTATAAATGGCTTTAAAAACCATCAGGCTGCAGAGAATGTTGGTCTGCACCGTGCATTGAACGGGCTCCCGTGTGTCACTGTAGCTTTCCTCCCCTGGAGCTCCTGGCTCTCCAGGTAAAAGAGCCTGTGTCTTCACGTATGTCATCTTCCTTCTATAAACACATTCCCTTAAGGATCAAACAGAAGCAAATACACGGGACAGGAACAGGATCTTCTAGCTCTGGTCTTGCATTTGGATGTGGGTGTGACGACTGGGTCACTTGTAGTTGCCTTCTGAAAAGGGCCCCCTCTAGGAAGTGACACAGCCTTAGGGACTCCACTCCTGGGCCCAGGGTAATCTTCTCTCTGTCCTGACTAGGATGGTGGAAAAAAAGATTTTCTGGGCCTTTCCAACCCCTCCCAGGACTCTCCGACCTCAGTGGTGGTGTCTGGGTTGCATTTGGCCGTGTGGCTCTTTCTCTGTTTACCGTGCACTAAGTATGAGCGAGCTGTCTGTGTTTTTCCTTCGTGGCTGCAGTTTTTATTGCACTTGTCCTGGTAGGAACTGGGACAGGCTGGTTATTTCCTGAAGTCATCCCAGGCCAGAGGTCTTTGGTGTGAGGGGACTTTTTTGTTGTGTTTCTGTTCAGTTTTTGTTTTGTGGTTTGCTCTCCTGGAGTGACCCCAGGTAGCTCCTTGTGTGCCCACAAGCAATGCCCTCCCCATATCTGTAAAACAAAGGGGTGGAATATGGCCCATCGCAGTATGAGTCTACTACCCAGGAAGAAAATGAAATAGGAAAGAACACCGCCCATCAAGTTGTAAAATCACCAGTAACAAGGCAAATGGTCACCATAGAAATTGTGTTTTTTAAAACATAATTACCCAGTTAGGTAAACAAAGGAGGTGATGAAATCATGACGTGCCTGACACACTTCGCCCTAAATCAAGTGGATGATTTTTTAAAGAGGTCATCTTGCCCCCCCCCCCCCCCCCCCGCCTCACTTTCTTTGCCCAGAGCTTTATACATGGATGGAAATGAGAATATTTTGTAAGGAAGAGTTGCAGTTTTAGTTAGTGTAGCTTTTTATCCCAATAAATCATCTAACATCGATAAACACACTCAGAATGACCATATGACCCAGGTTTTACCCAATCTAGTCTGAACTGCAGGCTGGTTATAGTTACTTCTTTATTCCGGACATAGCATAAAGCAACCCGTTATAAAGCGTGGATCATAGACGTTTTCCTCTGTACTGAGAGATGAGTTTGTTCAACTCCCTCTTTTTACAAACAAGTGTCTGGACCCTGTAACATGAAATATCACCTCGATGGTTAAAGAGGTAGCCAGCATCATCCGACTCCTGTAGGTTTCTCCTTTTCCATGCTATGTGTCAATCATTTCTTGCTGGCAGCTGAAGTCTCCCTCACTTTGAGGACTAAGTAGGTTTATTACTGCCCATAGGATAGACTTTGTTAATATATTAATTTACCTATAATAGCATTCATGAGGCTTTAGGTCCTTCTGTGGCCCCTTAAACATGGGAATAGTTAGGACAGCGTCATTATCTGTAACTTCCTGTCGTGGCCTGGTAATATGTATGTGTCCAGTGCAGCCATTGGGAATGTAGGGATAACGTGGGTGCACAGGTGGACCCAGCCCTTGTAGGGGATGATCTGAGTGCACCTTCTTTGGGACCAGTAGGAGTCCTCTCTATACCTTTTCCCACAGATCTACATGGAAATTGAGAGTTTCATTTAAGCCTTCACTTAAGCCTTTCTTTCCATCACTCCCTTCTCTCTTCCTCAAAGGGCTGCCCCTGAGGCCATGGCTCCTTCCTTTACCTCCTTCGGAAAAATGCCCTTATCTTTAAAGAAGTTGAATTTTGACACAGAAGCTACTAAAATTGAGACCTTGATCATTACGTTTGGAACCTTTGGAAATAAAAGGGATGTGTTAAGACTAGATTTTTCTTATTCTTTGACTTTAAATTTAGACAGAGGATATACATTATAATAATAGCTGGTACTTAGTACCCATGAGACAGGACCATTATTATCCTAGCTTTACAGATGAGGAAACTGAGGCAGAGGAACTGATCTGAGGCAAACACTAATAAATAACAGGATGGGAACTCAGGTCTGCTGACGAATTTAACCACTTGCCAAGCTGCCTCCTGCCCCTTAGTGCCTATGCCTAGATTTAAGTCACCATTAGCCTCGCGGAGAGCAACTTTTTCAACTTTCCTGTCTCAAAAACAAGGTGGAGGTGTTCACCAATGAACATCAGAGAAACAGGGAGGGTTAAGTCACCACAATTGACTCAGTTTTTAAAGTAAGTCCATCTGGATTCATGTCATTTGACCTGATATGAAACATAAACTAATCTCCAGTTTCCACTCCCTATCCCAACTGAAACTTTAAAATGTTGATGCTACATTTACTTAAATTCTCAAACAGCCTAAAAGAAGACTTGAGTCATCTGTGTTTCCTTCTCCTTTTCTCCCTGCGTTAGATTTTCATGATAAATCTCAAACGCAGGAAGGACCGGCGGGACCGGATGCTACGCACCCTGTATGAGCAGGAGATTGAGGTCAAGATTGTGGAGGCTGTGGATGGAAAGTGAGTTGGGTTTCTCTTGAACCTTTGCAGATGGGGTTGGAGTGGGGATATGTCCTATCTGATGGAGTAGTTCTGGGTGAGGAGAATCTATGGTCATCGGAATATAGACACATTTTTATAACAGCCCCGTGCAGCCTACCTGGGGAGACATTATGACTCATAGTAGCACAGAAGTTAATTTCACCATGTAGATCTGGACCACAGTCCACTCACCGTCCAGCCATCTCTGGTCTTCATAATGCTGAAGGCTCACGCCGGAAGTGATGTTCCCGTCTCTGGGGTTCTTGCAGTGGTTGGGGTGGTTCCCAGCTTCCTGCAGTGTATTGGAAAGAATGCGTTCAGACCCTGATTTTGAGCAAAGTGCCTACTAGTAAACTTGGGCGACCCAATGAAAATGAATGGAAAAAGTTCATAATGGTCTGTGTATGCTGTTGCATGAGATGCTGGCCACAGTCGGTCTGGGCTGATCGCTTTGCCGAGAATGGCAGGCAAGTCACATGGGGTACATGTTAGCTCCCTTCAGGGGGGGTTGTTATTGCTGTTGTTATTTTCTTTTGCTTTGCTTTGCTTTGGCCTTTTATTTGACACCCTCCTTCAAGGCATAGATTTTTGCAAAAACTGCAGTTCCAATGTTATCTGCATGCCTCTAAGGAGGATGGTTAGAAGCTGTAGTGAGAGTTCTTATGACTCCTTTAGAGAATCCCATCAGTGTTTCTTGAAGTGTGGCCGGGACACCCACGGCAGAGTCCCGAGGGGCTGGGAAGGGGACTTAATGTTCCTATTTGCCACTTTCCTTCATGAGGAAAATACTTTACGAAGTTGTCAAAAAAGTGATGATACTTAGAGCTATGTTGGGCATTATGAGGGATACACCAACTACAAGACACCCTCTGCTCTCCACAAAGCTCGTGACCCCGGGAGCTCCTAAGGAGTTATGGGAAACCTGGGACGTTTTTCTCAGGGTGCGTGAAGGCTCTGGGGGACACACAGAACTCTCTTTCTGGCTTCCGTGGTTTGGAAATCTCGCCTTGTTCGTTTTCATATGTGTTCTCTGTCACGCAGGGCGCTCAACACCAGCCAGCTGAAGGCCCTGAACATTGACATGCTGCCTGGGTATCGAGACCCCTACTCCTCCAGGCCTCTGACCAGGGGTGAAATCGGCTGCTTCCTTAGCCACTACTCTGTCTGGAAAGAGGTAACTGATGCTTTATGTACATGTGCATTTTGTAATGAGGAGGAGGGAGAGTGGGACTTTGTGGGTGAATGAGGGCCAGGTGTAAGGTGAGCCCCTCCCTGTTCTGGAAGTACACTTGAAAGTTGCAGTTGCTCCGTATCTTCCTCTGACGCAAGGCCAGCCACAGACAAGGAGGGGTAACCTTGGGACCCTTGGGACAATGACAGGGGAAGACGCCCATGTTCTTAGGGCCACACTCCTGCAGATGCATTCTCATCCTTAGTAGGGACGCCTTGCATGTGTCTAGCATGTCATCATTTTGTAAGTGACTTCATACAAGAAGACCCACAGAAGTCACATGTGGTGGGTCAGGAGGGATGGGCCCATTTTATCCAAGAGGAAATAAATATGTTGTCTAAGCAAGAAGTGGCAGAGCTAGGACTTGAACCCATATCTTACAGATGAGACGATGAGGGTGGTATTGGAGTGTGGGGTTCTTGATCAAGGCTCAGTTCTCACAAGAAAAGGAAAAGGCTCTAAAGAAGGGCCCCTTGAATGCCTTCTCTCTTTGAATGATCCAGTCTAGGCCTATCTTTTTTTTTTCTTTAAACTTTAAATGAAACATAAGAGAAATGTGTAAAAATATGTAGATTGTAAAACACGGGCCAATGAAATTTCACGGACTGAACAATGCACCCACGTTAACCAGCACCCAGATCCCGAACAGATTGCCAGCCCACAGATCCACCCCCTCTACATTTCCTTCTAGTCACTGTCCCCCCGGTAATCACCGTCCTGACTTTTAACGACAGCAAAAGTTTTGTCTTCTTTTGTACTTTAAAAAAATATATATGAATAGAACCGTAGAGTATGTCCCATCTCTCAACCTTATGTTTGTGAAATTCATCTAGAACATTAAATTTGATTGTAGATCATACATTCTTATTGTTATAAATATACCACAGTCTATTGATTCATTCTACTGTTGACTTAGAACCCAATTATGAGCTTTTACATATGCTACTAAACTCCTTACATTTTAATACTGATTTGTCTAATAAAAGAAATAAGTATTGCCCTAACCGGTTTGGCTCAGTGGATAGAGCATCGATCTGCAGACTGAAGGGTCCCAGGTTCGATTCGGTCAAGGGCATGTACCTTGGTTGCCGCACATCCCCAGTAGGGGGTGTGCAGGAGGCGGCTGATCGATGTTTCTCTCTCATCGATGTTTCTAATTCTCTATCCCTCTCCCTTCTCTGTAAAAAATCAATAAAATATATATTTAAAAAAAAATAAGTATTGATCATTTCAGAGTGTCTTCCCACTGATGACCTTTGCAGGTAATTGACCGAGAGCTGGAGAAGACTCTTGTTATTGAGGATGATGTGCGTTTTGAACATCAGTTTAAGAAGAAGCTGATGAAACTGATGGATGACATTGACCAGGCTCAGCTGGATTGGGAACTGATGTGAGTGACAAGACAGCCTTATCAGAGAGCTCCGAGAGGCACTGGGTCCTTTCCAGGGGCAGCGAGCCCCACCTCCCCCCTGGTAGGAGATACACCCCAAACTTCCACTGATTTTCTCTCCATAAACATTACCAGAAACCAAAGAAATGAGTAGAGGATAGCCACTGGTTCTGCATGTGTGTGCTCTGCAGGGTGAGGAAGAAACTGCGGGAGATTCTTTATGAGATCTGGGTCAGCCTGCAGATCAGGGGCCTTCAGACAGAACACTCACTCGGGAGCACAGCAGACACCCCGCCCTCGAAGCACGTGGCCCATGGAGGGGGTTTATTCCAGGGCAAGAGTCCTGGGTCACATTGGACCTTGGCTCCCATAAAGCAGGTTCCCTCCGTGGGTGTGGGAGACTGAGCAAGGGGAGGGCATCTCTGTTGGGAGAGGAAGCTGTGCAGCAGGGAGAACACTGGCAGCCGGGTTTGGTGGAGGGTCAGAGGCTGTTGCAGGAAAACCAGGCTCACCAAGGGACTGGTGGCTCTGAACTGACATTAATGAGTTAACAATGGGTTAATGCTCATTGTCTGCCCCCTCTTAGAATTGAGTTCTCTCTCTCTCTCTCTCTCTCTCCCTCCCTCTCTCTCTCTTTCCCTCTCCCTCTCTCCCTTCCTTCCTCTCTCCCTCCCTCTCTACTGCCTCCTCCCCTCTCTCTCTCATTTTCTTGTTAAACCCAAATGACACTTCTCTTTTCTCCATGAGGCAGAAAGTTCCCAAGCCCTGCGTTCTCCCCCCAGCTGTGTGTCACAGGCAATCCCATCCCATCAGAGCCTGTCCCTTTGGAGCACCTGCTTCAGACAGGCTGTCCCCGCCCCTCCCAGCCTTGGAGGGAAAGCCAGCTATGGGCCCAGGCGGAATACTTGTTCTCTCAGAAAAGGCACCCTTCTGAGCTCAAGAGCAGCCTAGCAATGGCTCCACTGACCCGTGGGAAATAGACCCAGCAGTCAGCACTGTAATTGAGAGACGGCTCCTGGTCAGACAGCAGCTGCTAAGATGCTCATGGAGAACAGGACCTGCTTCGGTGCCTTTCTCAGAGCAGAGCACGCAGGGGGAAGTGTGGGCAGAGCTAGGGGCGTGTGAGGCGCTGGCATCATCCTCCCCAGGAAGAGCCTTCCGGGGGCCACTCCTGCAGACTGCTTCTTTCCCACAGCCGGTTCTGTCCTGTGTTCACCACCAGCATTTGGAGCGCTTGCAGACAACACAGCAGGCTGAAACTCGGGGGACTTGAACATAACAAACTCAGGATTCTCACATCTGGCCTTTTGTGTCCCCTGCCAACCCTGTAAACACAGCTGGAAATCCCATACCACCTTTGGGAATGATCTGAAAAGACCTTTCATCTCTTTACATCTTAACTTTCTGGCTTAAACACTGTCTCCTAGACAAGAGTAGATGGGATACTGATAAACGGAGCCAGGGAAATGGCCCCACTGATGGCAGGTGACAGTCACAGTTGGTGACAGATGTGACGTGCTATGCGGCCTGATGCATTTAATATACGACACAGTGGGTGCAAGCTTTCAAAAGTGTCCACAAAGCCGTGTCCCATTCCTATGGATGTCTGGCATTCCAATTGGAATTTTCTCCTCTGCCCACTTCCTTTTAGTTATATTGGTAGGAAGAGGATGCAAGTAAAAGAGCCGGAGAAGGCGGTGCCCAACGTGGTCAACCTGGTTGAAGCCGACTACTCCTACTGGACGCTGGGCTACGCCCTCTCTCTGGAAGGAGCACAGAAGCTGGTTGGAGCTGATCCTTTTGGGAAGATGCTGCCAGTGGACGAGTTCCTGCCAATCATGTACAACAAGCATCCTGTGTGAGTTGCCCCGAACTCCCTGCCTGTCCCGTGAGCACAGTGCATTCGTGAGCCAGCCTACTCAGTTTCTGGGCAGTGCTTGGTATTTTCTAACGGTGCACTGCTTTCCTAGATGATCTTTCCATAATCACGACCCAGGGAGGTTGACTCGAGTGATTATCCCCTTATGGGGAAGGTGAAGCAGAAATGGTGTCTTGCATAGGGGTTCCCTTTAATATCCAATGTGTAATTTAAATGGGCATAATCTGCTCTGTCCTCTCCTTGTCTTTGATCTCCTTACTTCCATGAACTCATACACCTCAAGGTGAAGGTCATCTTCCTAAGCATCTCAAAACTTTCAACTCATTTCTCAGTCTGTTGTGGGTCCTGTTGGCCAGGCAGTGGCTCACAGCCTAGTCGAGAGCACAGGCCCATGAACATCATCATGATATACTGTGCTATCTGTGATCATGGAGGTGTGTTAGAGAATCAGGGAAAGGCAGGTGGCCTCTGGGGTGGGTCCATGGGAGAAGGCAGCGTGATGCTCAGGGATTCTGTAGCCCAGGAGTTGGCTCTGACCAACACTTACCAAAGGGTTTGGTAATTGATGGTTTACTTGTCGGTCTCCCCAATAACCTGTGAGCCCCTCAGGTAGGCACAGTCTTACATCTCTGTGTCTTTAGAGCCTCGGCCCAAACTCTACACATATTTGCTGTTCTGTCAATGATTCCTAAATTCCTTAATGGAGCAGGAGACCAGGTTCTAACCTTAGCTCCTTCTCTCAGTTGCTGGGTTATCTCCTCACGGAGATGGTCTTCATTTTAGCAGTTAAGAGTTCCTGACCTCCATCTTCATTTTATCTCCTTGCCCTCTTTTACACAACGTATTAGAGACTCACTTTATCTCTGAATCCTGAAGAAACAGGGAGGTCAGCCATCATCCCCTTAACAGAAAGGAAATGCACACCTATGGGGCACTCACTGACGTAGGAGCCGAGCAGATGTCACCTCACATAATCTGCACCAGAGCCCTGGGAGGGAGGTCAAGTCATCTCTCCACTTTACACTCACAGGGATCTGCAATACAAAGCCACGTTGGCCTGCCTCCAAGCCTACGCTAGTTCACTCACTCCTTCGCTGCTGTCCAGATCCTGCTGCTAATGTATTAATCGAGCAACAGGGCATTTTCTACAGAGTGATCACATTTTTGTATTATTACGGTCCCACACAGAGCTTAATTCTTAACTTTCAGAGTAAGAGCTGAAATTCATTTTAAACCAGTCTATCCAAATGCAACAGAAATATCCTGACTTTGTCTATGTATTTGCTTAGCTCATCCAAAAGCTTCTAAAGAACCTTTATTGTATTTTTAGACTAAAGTTTTCCACAAAGGACACAACTTAAAAGATAATCAGATGAGTCCCTGAGCATTGAAGAGGTAACAAGCAGGGCCCCTCTCCCTCTCCCCCTGTTCTGTAAGGACCCTGCCCCCTCATGCCTGTGCCCCTCTTGTTTTCAGAGCTGAGTACAAGGAGCATTACAAATCCAGGGACTTGAAAGCCTTCTCCGCAGAACCCTTGCTCATCTACCCCACACACTACACAGGCCAGCCGGGGTACCTGAGTGACACGGAGACCTCGACCATCTGGGACAATGAGACAGTGGCCACTGACTGGGACAGGACACATTCCTGGAAGTCCCAGAAGCAAGGCCACATCCACCACAATGCCAAGAACACAGAGGCCCTGCCACCGCCAACCTCCCTGGACACCGCGCCTTCGAGGGACGAGCTATGAAGGCTCCACCCGGACGGCATTCACCACCCTTTGGTTTCTCTGACGGGCTGTCCATCTGTTTGCCCCGGCTTCTTCCTATGGTCACAGTCATCTAACCCAAGTGATTGATCCAAATTAATACGTTTTTGAGAGGGGAGGAGAAATTAGAAAATTAAAACCCAAATTTCCTAGGATGGCTAGAAGATAGGCTTTATTGCACCCATTAAGATAAACTTTAATGTAGACGCCTAGTCCTTTAGTTAATTATCCATTGATACTGGTTCTCACATTAAGGTTGAAAGTATGGCTCAGAGACTTGTCCAAGAGGAAGGTGATCACCACAGTGTCACATCAGTGAATGGGTGGGCAACCTTGCCACGCCCACTGAGGCCATGTCTATTGGTCTAGTGAGCCCATTTCATGTCATAGATGTGACCTTAAAAACTTGTGTAGGTAACAAGTTTTGGGGGGGATCAAATAGTTTAAAATCAAATTGGGCTTTTTGTTGAAAGGAATTGTCATGAGCCTTATTGCAAAGTGAATTTTCTATCCGAGTCCTCGCTGTCCAACAGGGATGGGTGTTGGGTCTGTCTGAGCCTTGGCCTTTGACTATCGTGGCAGCCGGAGCTCTCGTAATGAGGCTCCCGTGGGCCATGTGGGTAGCTTAGTAGATATTTGGGGGGTTGTGTAACTATTTGAGGAAAAAAGAACTCAAACTTTGGCCTTTTTATCATGGTCATTGGAATTAAGATGCTCTATTTATGAAGATAAATTTAATATATAAGGGGGGAGGGCTGGTTCTGACTTCTGCCCCAGGGTTTCAGCACGTCAGACGCTCCCCTCCACCCCTGCATGGGAATGAATTGCAGGTGTGAGTTTCATGAGTTACTGTTAAGAGGCAGCAACTGTCCTTGCCCAAGTTTCAGTCTAGTTTGAATTATTTATTTTACAAAGTGGGGGAGGGGGGGCGGGATATCTGTGTGATAAGGCAGAGAAACAGATGTTTTGAACTTTATCGTGTTTGAAGACTAAACACAATGGCACCCTGGGGAGCGGTCAGTGTAGACACATCGGTTCAATCGT